CCCCAAAACCCCAAAACCCCAAAACCCCAAGATGATAGTAAATCTGCTAAGGTATAAGTTTAGGTTAAAAATAGCAAATGAAAAATAATAACTGACAGGTATACGTTGATTTTGTCGATCTTGAGCATTGATTATAGTATTAGAATATTTATAGTCGAATAATTTGATCAGATCGGTACTTATTGTTGTTACCCTCTTTTAAAAGAAGATACCTCTGTACTTTTAGCCAGCTTAAGTGCTCTTCTCGTTTTTCTCTACAGTTAGTGACTTAATGGAGTGTTATCATAAACACTATTCTCATACACCTTAGGATACTGTTTTAAGGGAGATAGATATTGAATTTGCTATGACTCGTTAAGGGTTGCATTAGTTTTGTTAATTTGATCAAGCTTTTGTTTATTGATCTAATTTACGAATTCTTAATATTTAGATGCCCCACTGCTTATCGATTACATGTAACTGGTCTGCTACTATTAATGTTAAATTGATCTAAAAGATGATCTTGATATCCCCTAGGTGCCCTAGGAACTGATCATAGGTAATCCACCTTAATCATGATACATACTTTGGTTAATTGAGGAATTAAGAGCATAGTTACCATTCTACATTTGGTGAGGTGCTTTAGTGAAATTCGCTGTGAAAGATGTACCGTAGCCTGAAGTATCTTAGTTGCCCGATTTCACTTATGCTTAGGAGTAATTTTGAATTGGGGATAGTTATTGAAGAGGGATGCTTTAAATTTAGAATACATTTGAATAGCCTGATTGCAACCCAAAAGGCATGTGTGAATAAAATGATGAAGCTGGCACTTATTAATTCTGCTAGTTAGTGAATGTCATAGGAACAAGTAAAGCTGGTGAACCATTGATGTTTATTTAATTTGAAACAGCTCTTTAATAAATAGGTCCTTGTCCAGCACCTATTGATGTTAATGAGGTAAATCTTACTGAATTCTCTGTGTCCTTAGAAGCTATGTCTGACCTATTCAAACCTACTTGCAGGTATGCTATGAGTGCCAACAACATTTTGAATGGATGGACAGCTTATTTCCTGCAATCCAAGGCCTATATTATTTGCACTCATTGACGTAGTGGTGATTGTGCTTCCAACCCTTCTGATCGGACTATTATTTCTATCATTATTTATGGAGATAGAATCCATCACGGATATCATAGTTGAGCTTGTAGGAATAGAACTCTACTAGTTACGTTTGTGCCTTTCTACAGAAAATTTTATAATTTGAAGAGCAAGGATAATTCAGATGAAATTTAGACTTACTTGCAAAATCTGCTCCATTTTTCAGACCTTCCTTCTCTTACGTATAGCCGATAGTGTTAAAGTCAACTGACTAGTTCATCTTTTGGCCTAGAAATTCTTATGTGCTCGAAGAATGATTTAAATAATCTGATCTCTTTTACGGAGTTACTTCCATTTCCTTATTTATAGGCTTCAAAGTATTTTGCACAATTCCTAGATGCCCTTCTTTGCTCATCAAAGAAGTTTTACCTTTGAATCTGGCCTGAAACTCCTGCTCAGGGGTCTACTTTTAATTGTATATTTAACTAACTCCTCTGAATTAATTAGATTTTCTGGGAATGATTATCAAGTTTTATTGCTAAGGCAAATTCAAATGAGTCGAATTCTATTTCTGCTCTGTCATTTTGCTATTTTTATTAAAATATATAATTTTTCTTATTATATTTACCTTTTGACATGACTCTTTCTAATTCTAAACTAATGGGGTTTTGGGGTT